TTTTAACAGAGTCAATATGCTCGTCATGTCTGATCTGCGATAGAGGAGGATGCTCTAGCACACACTAAAGGACTACAGTATCATCCCAGTATTGCAATCACTAACAACGGCAGAACTGCTGAGATGAATCACCAGCGTCTCATAATTTCCTTGTTGTTCAATAGCCTCAGATTCCATTCAAGGGCTATCTGATATCTGACAGTCCAGCGTTATCTCGACAGTAGTGTTGAATATGATAAATAGATCAGTACATGACGAGAAGATGAACTCATGAGTAACTAATACTTCTATATTTCATCTGTGGTTTGTTGTACTGGTTCTATTCATAAATCATCGGGCCCGTTATCATTTGTATCTCATCAATATGATTATCGCTCTGATTGCCGCCTTCGCCTACACAGTAGCAATCATTGATGCCAACGGCCTTGGGAACGAAAGTACCATGTTCGAACTCGGGCCGTGACCGTCCATCGATTATCTTCAGGTGAGACGCCCGCGTTTCTCCATCTTCGTTCTCTGAATGGCGGCGGGGTCTTGTGTCCGTACAGCAAGGGTAAACTGGAAGCCGGATACATAACCATTGGCGTGTTTAGGAAGAAAAAGTATATTCAGCGTGCGGAGTGAGAATCAAGGTCATGCTGCCTTTAGGTACTTCTATGCGGTCATGGAAGCCGAAGACGTAGATCCATCATTGGCGCCGACCTTCTGGTATATGGCCGGTGGACCGGGCAGTAGCAGCTTGGGAGAGGCCATGATGTTAAATGGACCATGCAGGATGTCTCCTAACGGGGAAGAGCTTCTGGATAATACGTGCGAATGTCCTTGTATGGTGTCACGCAATGTGACCGTTCGGAGTTAGATACTCGTGGACTAAGCAAGCCAACGGCATTTGGATCGATGCACCTGGACCTACCGGCTTCAGCACGGGCCCGATAGAGTCCACCTTGGAGAAGTTTATAGGCAACATGTAAGCATTCTTTAGACCAGAGAATATACACTTCACAATGATGGTCCACAGGGTCACCTTAAGCGGCCAGTTATTCAAGAAATACCCTCACTTGAATAGGAATGTACACCTCGTCGGAATCTCATGGTCTGGTACGCATGCTGAGCTGATAGTTCGGGTGATACCATCTTGCAGCTCTCGCCGTTGCTATGTTGGGAGAGGGCATGCTGCGGAATCCTAGGCCCAAGATCGATTTGAAAGGAGTGATGATGCTTTCTGGTATGGTTGGACCGTATGAGATGTATGCAATCCATTCATTCCGAGTTGACATTGTTGCCTGGCTCATCTTGTCAGATATCACGGAGCTTACGAGATGGTTAGGGATCGGCAACTTCTACCACAGAAGGAGTCCTAGTTCCACATTGTGCGTTGGTCGTATAATTCTCTCAGGCTCGATATAATGAAGACTGGCCTGGGGGTCTGTAAAGCAGCTGTCGACAAGTGCAATTCTAATGGACCTGGGAAGCCTGCTAAGCCCGGTGGGTAATCCGTAACTTGAGCACTCTCGACAGTCATGCTCTGTTCCTCGCAGTTTTCTGCCAAGAAGCTTTTGATACCTGTGAAGCATTAACGATGAACCGTATGGACGCAGCACGCAAGAGCATGTAAGTGGGTGGGTTGGGATCTGAGTGTTGACCTTCGTTGTCCCGAATTCGTGACGACCAGACTCCTCGAAATCATCTGTAATTTCTCTATGTTCTCCGGAATATTCCCATCATGTGGGCTAATAATTCTTCTCCAGATACGATGTACGCGCACGAACAGGGGGAGACTTCGAATTTTTCGCTTTCCAACCGGGAGATGTAGCCGTCGTTGCAGGTCTCAATTTC